TTGGAGAGCAAGTTTCAGAGTCTCTTCTGACATCCATCTTGACCTTTTCCTGTACCAAAGGATACATTCTGCAAGCCTGCTTCCTGGCCACCAGCACACAGCCTTTCTCTTTCCATGGGTCTAGAGTCTTCAGCTGCTTTTTGATAGCATTTTTGACTTTCAAATAATCTTAGGGGTAATGAGCTTGCAAAGGGGCCTTTTGAGGATGATAAGGGCTTGTTTATGGAGTCCTTGTGTGGCACTATGGGTTAATGTGCCAGACTGCAAAGCCATTTGAACTGCAAGGTTGGTGGTTCAAGCTCACCAGTCACTCCTCGGAAACCCTATACAGGGTCTCTATGGGTCGGAACTGACTCGATAACGACAACAAGGGCTTGTTTAGATTGCTGAAGGGACCCCTGGTGGTGTAGTGGTTTACATGTTGGGCTCCTAACTGTAAGGTCAGCAGCTCAAATCCACTAGCTGCTCTGCAGGAGAAAGATGAGGCTTTCTACAGCTTGGGAAGCCGTATACAGGGCTGCTATGAGTGGGAGCCAGATCAATGGCACATACAGCAGCAGGTTACTAAAAGGATTGAACCTCCCTTTCAAATGGTAGTTGTGATTTGTTATATTGCAGAGAGAAAATATCAGATACACAAAAAGACTGGAAATTCTTCGAGGTGAGTCATTTATGCTTTGGGGGCTTTTCTTTTTCATTTGAGACATAAATTGTTGCCATTTGTCAGTCACTTTATTTTTATTGAATGTCCTTTCTAAAAATGATGTAGACCTTAAATTTTGTCCTGACTGTTCTTCTGTAAAGGTGAGTACATATACAGTTTCCCAGACATATTGGCAACTTGGGCCATCTGGGTTTGAATGTACTTATCAATGTCATACGGAGTCCCTTGGTGGTGCAAGCAGTAAAGCCCTATTAACTGAGAAGATGTCAGTTCAAACCCCCTATAGATGCTTCAGAAGAAAAGATATAGTCATGAAAACCCTATGGAGCATAGTTCTGCTCTGCACAGGTGGGGTTGGCATGAGGTGGGATGGACTTGCCGTCCCCTACTTTGGTTGGTTTTAGCAGGGTTACAGAGACAGGTAGCCACTTTCCCCCTCCTAACTGTGGGTTGTGATTCTTGTCTGGTTTCTGTCCTAGTCCTTTTACATGTTCTGTACATACATAGCCTGGATTGTCTTCCAACGTCAACACTTGACAGAGATTGAAGAAGAAATAGGGAGACTCTTTCGTACCAATATGTTCAACATTCCTCGAAGGCGACGTGAGGATGAAGAATCAGGGGGAGAAAAGAAGCGCATGACCTTTGTGCAGTTCAGGTTTGACCTTTGGATTTGTTCCTAAGCTTTAGAACATTTTTAGAAAGCAGGATGATGTAACCTTAATTTCCTCTCCTCCACACACCCCACAACAGGAGAATGATGGCAAAGCGCCCAGCGATTAAAAAAGCCATTAACATGCGCTCTCCAGTTCTGTCCACTCTTCTGCCTTCTCCCAGAGAAAAAGCGCAGAATATCTTTGAGAAAAAGTATCACCATGCAGGCATCAAGCTTCCAGCCCACATCCCAAAGCACACAGAGAGCCGGGATTCTGTAGCCATGCCAGTGTAAGTGGTCTGAGGAGAGGGGCCAGAGAGACCTCATGCTTGCTCCCTAGGCTGGGCCAGGAGGCAGACTTATACCTCTGTCAGAAAGGTGAACCAAAATGGAAACTCCTGTTTTCCTACCTAGTCTCTGCTCCCCTCCAGCTGCTTCTTCCCCAGACATCTCCAGGTACACCCACCTAGAATAAAAAAATGAGTGCTAGAAAATGATGTTAGGTTCCAGATAGTTCTAGTTTGGAAAAGTAGCAGACTGTCTAAGACTGAAGTGTCCTAATATAAAGAATCGTCTTTAGGCAGTGCAGGAAGGCCCTGTACAAAATACTGCTCTGGATTGTGTTTTTGGCCCGATATGTATGACTACAGTGGTGGCTCATGGAAACAGACAAAGCTATTTAGTATACATAGCTTTAGCACGCATATGAAGTGGCTTCAAAAAATTCATAGAAAACTAGAATCGAAAGATAATGGAATTTTTCCACACACACATACATGTACAAATATACACCTTATTATTTGGCCTCATTGCTTCAGCTGTACCAATAATTCTTTTCACAGAGTTGGCATCCTAGGGGAGCCTAGATATCTGTTCAACCCCCATACTCTTGAACCTCTCGATCAAGAAGAAATCACAAAATCGTCTGGGAGACAGTCTTCTATGACTGAAAAAAGTAACATCAGGATTCAGAGCGCACTGGACTTAACTTTGAGAACACGATCCTCTCAAGTGACACTCTAGATCATTTGGTAGACTCCATTTATGTAATTAACTCACTGTATTTGAAGTAAACTACTTTAACACTTTATATAAGTCTAATATTTGTTATTGTTGTTGTTGTTGTTATGTGTCGTGGAGTCGGTTCCGACTCATAGTGACCCTGTACAGGGTTTCCGAGGCTGTAAATCTTTACGGGAGCAGAACGCCTCATCTTTCTCCCGCGGAAGAGCTGGTAGTTTCGAACTGCTGGCCTTAGGGTTCGCAGCCCGATTCGTAACCACTACGCTATCAGAGCTCCTTAATATTTGTTATTAAGTTTTTAAAATTATTCAAGGTATTTTGTTAAAAGTTCAACAATAGACTGTTGAAGAGTTCCAGAAAGCTCTTAAAAAGCTCATTTTCCTGTTTCTAATACATCCCGTTGTTATCTACTTCTTTGGTTTCTGTGTAACTGATTAGAATAATGTGTTAGAACATTCTGTTTATTAGGTTTCTCAGTTCATTTTTCCACCCCTCGTCTGTCAGTTTGTCATACTTTCATGGTTTGCATGTTACTGTGATGGTGGAAGCATTTTCAATACCAGCAGAGTCACCTGTGGTGGACAGGTTCCAGCTGAGCTTCCAAAGACAGACTAGGAAGAAGGAGAGGCAGACTCCTTCTGAATGTGCAGCCACTGAAATCCTTAGGAATCATAATGGAACATAGGCAGAGATAGTGCCAGAAGATGAGTCTATTAGCCTGGAATTCACACCGAATATGACTGGAGAAGAGCAGCCTCCTTAAAGTAGAGTTGCCTGTGATGACACACATGGAGTGAACTTTTGGTACCTTCATTTGCTGATGGGGCTAAACTCAAAATGAGGAGAAACAGCTGCAAACAAACAATAATCAGAACATGGGATGTGCAAAATATGAACGTAGGATAGTTGGAAATTGTCAGAAATGCAATGGAATGCATAAAGATCAATATACTTAACAATAGTGAGCTGAAATGGGCTGGTTTTGGCCATTTTGAATCAGACAATCATATGTTTTACCATGTCAGGAATGACAGTTTCAGGAGGAATGGTGTCACTTTCATCGTCAAAAAGAACATTTCAAGATCCATCTTGAATACGATGTTGTCTGTGATAGGACAATATCCATATGCCCACAAGGAAGGCACCACCACTCATCTGTTGGTTTGTCATACTGTGGTGGCTTGCTTGTTGCTGTGAGGCTGGAAGCTATGCTACCGGTATTTTAAATATCAGCAGGGTCACCCAGGGTGGACAGGTTTCAGCTAAGCTTCCAGACAGATCCAGGCTAGGAAGAAGAGGCAGACTATTCCTGACTATGTAGTCACTGAAAACCTTATTATGACTAGCAGCAGGACATTGTCAGATAGAGTGCTAGGAGATGAGCCAGTCAGGTTGAAAGGCACTCAAAATATGACTGGGGAAGAACTGCCTGGTAAAAGTGGAGTTGACCAGGATGATGCAAGTAGAATAAGCTTTCAGGACCTTTCTTTGCTGATGAGGCACAACTCAGAATGATAAGCAACTGCAAACAGCCATTAGTAAGTGTGCAGGAAGTGTGAATCAAAAAGGAAACGGAATACATAAAGATCAATATGCTAGGCAAGTGAAAACCTTTCAATATGAAATCTGTTCCTACGACTTAATTAAATTCCTTGTGTGGTGTAGATGCTTAGCATACTCATCTGCTAACTAAATGGTTGTAAGTTTGTGTTTACCCAGAGGAGCCTTAGAAGAAAGACCCGTTGTTCTACTTCTGAAAAATCACACACTGTCAACCTGATAGAACACAGTTCTACTCTGAAACACGTGGTGGTGGTGGTGGTGGGGGTCATGAGTCAAAGTTGACTGCGACTAGTTTTTTTTTTTAGTATCTATATTATTACTGGAGTCCTGGGGTGGCACCATAGGATAAGCATTCGACCTCAAGATTGGTTTGAACTGCAAGGTAAATAGTTCAAACTCACCAACTGCTCCTTGGAGTCAGAACTGACTTGACAGCACTTAACAACAACAACAACAACATTTATTAATATTACTGGCATTGTGATATAAAGTATACCTGGTTCATTTAAAAGCCTTTAAATATAAATGTCTCATTCACTATTGTATTTATTTAACAACAAATATGTATTAAGCCTCTAGTCCATCAAAAAGTCAGTTACAGCTCATAGCAACCATGTGCCCAACAGAACAAAGCACTGCCTGGCCCTGAACCATTCTCACAATTGTTGCTGTCACCATGCCAGTCTATTTCTTTGGATGGGTGGGTTTTTTTTTTTCACTGACCCTCCACTTTACCAAGCAGGCTGTCCTTCTCCACAGACTGGTGCCTCCTGAGAGTATGTCCAAAGAATGACACACCAACTCTCGCCATCCTCACTTGTCAGAAACATTCTGGCTATACTTCTTCCAAAATGGATATATTTGTTCTTCTGGCAGTCCATGGTGCTTTCAGTATTCTTCATCAAATTTTATAATCAAAAACAACAACAACAACAACAACAAAAAACAGACCATCAGCCTGGAGGATATGATGTGGGTAATAGAGACGATAAGTCAAATGCACACTTGGTCACACCCAGTATGAAATCCGATACTATCAACGAGGTAAATACAGAGCATCAGGGCAACCGCTTCCAGGGGCACCAGAGAGTTCTGATTTCTTGGGAAGCATTGGGTGGTCCAGTCAGTGGAAGAACACATACAGAAGGACACAGATAAGAAAGTGTGCCCTGTGATTGGTGAACAGCAAGAGCCTAGGCCAGGCAATGAGCAATAGAAGAGCAGGCTGGGAAGGTCAGTTGATTCCCTGTGTCCATTTAGGGGGAGTGCATTGAGTGTTGTTTTGTAGGGAATGAAGCCTAGGAGCTGCTGGTAAAAAGCCGTTCGCTAGATAGCATACAAACCTGCTGTTTATAGAGCATTATTCTACAGTTACTGTAACCCCATTCTGTACTAGGTACCATGTTAGGTTCTGAGACTTCATTGGTGGGCAAAATACAGTCTACTTTATCACAGAGCTGTCAGTTTTGGGGGAAAACAGACATAAATACACAAGGATTTCAATGTAATGGTGATAACATGCTGCAGAAGAGAAAAGGAGGATGCTGTGTGTATGCAAGAAGAGACTGTCAGGAGCATGAGGGATTGTTGGGAGAGGTGAAGTCATACCTGGAAAACTGAGACTTGAAGATGTGAAAGTGGGAAGAAGGGAGCGGGGAGCTTTCCTGACTGTATCAATTTATCGATTTTTGTGTAACGAATTACTCCAAAACTTGGGAGCTGAAAACAGCAACATTAATTATCTCTGGGTTAGGAGTCTGCGTGCAACTTAGCTGTGTCCTCTGGTTCAGGGTCTCTCAAAAGGCATCAGAGTATTTCCCTTCGTTGAAGTCCTCTTACAACTCTTACTAGGGAGAGAACAAACAAGATGGCAGATCGGGTGGAAGAGTAGTGAGGAGCTCCATCAGCAACAACACAGAATACCGGACCTAGCAGCTCAGGAGATGGTCCCAGAACTCTGAACCACATATAAAGGAATATTTAGAAGGTTGGAAGGCTTAACAGCTAGTGGAATTTGTAGCAGAAACAAGAAACCCATTGCTTTCTAATCTGAGGCTGTCAATCTTTACGGGAGCAGAAAGCCTCATCTTTCTTCCAAGGAACAGCTGGTAGTATCGAACTGCCAGCCTTGAGGTTAGCAGCCCGATTCGTAACCACTGTGCTACCAGAGCTCCTTAGGTATTCCAAAACAGAAAGAATCATGCAAGCCCACAGAGGAGCTAGTTGAAGAGTTGACAGAAGAAAATTTCCCTAACATCCTGAGAAGCGAAAAGATAAACATTTAAACATCCAAGAAGCTCAACGAACCCCAGGAAGGATAGACCCTAAAAGAAAATTACCAAGACTTATAATAATCAAGCTCTCCAAAATCAAAGATAAGGACAGAATCCTGAAAGCAGCTAGGGAAAAGAGAATTGTAACATACAAAGTCAAGCAAGTCATATTAAGCTCTGACCTCTTAGCAGAAACCATGCAGGCAAGAAGGCAATGGGGAGAACAAACAAGATGGCAGATTGGGTGGAAGTGCAGTGAAGAGCTCCGTCAGAAACAACACAGAATACCAGACCAAGCAAGCCCAGGGGATGCTCC